ACAATTTTCAAACTCAAAACACAACCCAAAAAGTTGAAAAATCGACCCTATCGATACTAAAGACAGTAAAATACACTACAGTGAATTTACTTCAGTGGACTTAGTGCCACGAGTTGAAAATGCATATAACAATATATATATATATATATATATATATATATATATATATATATATATATATATATATATATATATATATATATATATATATATATATATATATATATATATATATTTATATATATTTAACAATTAGACAACGAGGCCGAGTTGTTGTGAAAGTATACCTTTTGAAATCAAGCCTTCGTTGGAATTTGAATGCTGAACCTACGGGTGCGTAAAAACAATTGAATCGAAATTTATGTATGCACTTCGAGTTTGCGTATAATTTAACTGTCCATACATGGTGTCCCAAAAAAACCCAAACTATTGAAATATAAACGTATTGTTAAGCCCTGGGCAAACTAGGAAACATTGTTGCGGAAACTTTTGTGATTCTCAAGGGTGGGTAGTAGCGAAGTAGTTGTAGTTCGCTACTGTAGCAAACTACAATTTTCAAGTAGCCAGTAGTTTTTGACTACTTTTTTAAAACAGTAGTTGTAGTTATAGCGAACCGGCTACATTTTGCGATGTTTCCTCAAATGTTTCCATGTTTGCCTACCCGTGGAAACATTGTTGCGGAAACAAAATTTGCTTCCTGGGAAGCAAAAATGTTTCCTACCAAATTCAGAAACATTTGATGTTTCCCTATGTTTCTCACTAATGTTTTCTAGTGTTTGCCCACTCTGGGAAACATGGCGAAACATTGGTAGGAAACAATCAGTTTCCGCAACAATGTTCCCTAGTTTGCCCAGGGCTTTAGAATTTGAATGCCTTAGCACTCTGCTGAACTCACAAGTGCAAAAAAGCTTGACATAAGTAACTTCTATGCATAAAGTATTAAAGAAACTGATATTTTAATTTCTTAATAAGTCAATATTTATAAAATATGCACCCTGCCAATATTTTACGTATCTTTGCGCGCTCAGCTTAGTGCTAAGTTATTCAAATTCTAACAATACGGTGATTTCAATAGTTTGAGTTTTTTGGGACACCCTGGTTGTTTACCATTTACAAGGAAAACCCATCCGGTTTGAAATTGTGCTAATGGTAAGCAAAATTTCGGATACAAAATCCCATTCGGATTATGCGCTTTCCATTTACAGTGACTGGCAGGAAGGCACTGAAGGGTTGTTTACCATTTACATGGAAAACCCATTCGGTCTGAATTAAATCGCGAAGAGCCTGGAACTGGTGAAAAAATAAAACTATGCGATGTAAATGGAACAAAATTCACCGGTTGAAACGTTCCAATCGGTAAGAGAGGACAACCTTTTCAAACAAACCGTTTATTCTGGAAAAATTCCGGTTGGGCCGTCGAAATATGCTTGCTCCATTTACTTTCCGTATGGAATCACCGGAATTTCCATGTAAATATATATATATAAAGATCGGAGGTTCGATTCCCACCGTGGCCGGGCATATTTTTCAAGCTCGTCCGGTATGGATATACACTCAGAGTAACATCACAAACATCATAAAGAAAAAGGTTTTTAATTAAAACAGACTTTATATAAAGTGCTTATGAAACGAAATTTTCACCTCATTTTTTATTGTTTTTCTAAAAAGTACTGCGGGAATGGTGAAGAATGACGTTTACAGTTTCTTCACATCTCATCTCATTCTCTAGTCTGCGATAGCAGACTGGCTACTTATTCTCAAGTTATCGAACTTTCTATCATCAAGATATCAGATTTTCTTGGTATTGGAATATTGCCACTATATCCAGTCAAACCAGTGACGTCACAACTCAAAATATAGAAAGTGTGATAACTTGGGAATGAGATGAGATACGAATAAACTTTAAACGTCATTCTTCATCATTTGCGCAGTACCTTTTAGGTAAAAATTTCGTTTCATAAGCGCTATAAGGAAAACAACCTTAATATATATAAGGAAGAAACACATGATATCAGTAACAAAAAGAGATAATGTTTATGATAGACGCAGGGCCGTAGCGAGGGGGGGTATTGGGGGGGTGGTTAACCCCCCCAACTTTTGACATATTCGGAAAATGGGATGGCCATTCGGAAAATTACGGCAATTATAGTATATGGTTTTTGTACGAAAATCATGAGATTCAGGCAATTTTTAGCTGATATCTAACTTTTGGTATGTCCGGAAAAATTTTTTGACCCTTAAAATGGTACACTGACCGAAATTTTTTTGGCGACGGGGGGGGGGGAGGTCGCCAAGAATTTTCGAAAGTTCGGAAATTTTCTTCGTCATTCGGAAATTTTTGGCCTACACCCCCCCAACTATAAATGCTAGCTACGGCACTGGATCAAGATATCTATGCACTGGATAGACGTTTGTCCACTATGGCGCCATGATAGTTTATATCGTTCCGGCTGGGAACGAGCATTGAATGTTATATCTATAATTCTATGGCATATATATAAGAGACATGGTCACATGGATGGATCGCCGATGGCGATCTATGTCTCCTTGACTCTCCTATTCTTGGGTTTCACCTTTCACTAGGGCATTAGGGCATTTATATGCAGTGAATCTGACGGGGGGTCAACCTCAAATGTATTTATTTTTATGCTGTACTGGAGTGAGAAAATGATACGAAATTCCATGTATTTGCCACCAAACACAAGGCAAATACATAAAACGAACAATCGACTCACTCTGATAACTGTGTTTTGTTTTAGAGTTGACCCCCGTCAACTATGGGTACAAGTCAGCCACATCCAATGAGCCACATCATGAAGAAATAAGGATTTTTTAATTTTTGAAAGTGGAAGCACTGAATATTTATTCTGTGCACAGAACAAGTGGAATGAACATTGACAGTAGTTCAAATTTATAATATATTACAAAGCATCTTGCCATGCTGTTTTGACAAAAGATGAAAAAGGCTGAAAGTTCCAGAAGAAGCCCAAGAAATTTTAAATTATAAGTATCTTTACGTTCATTTAATTTGTATACATAGTATTGAATGAAACTTTTGTCCGCCGGTCGTGTGCACCAAAACCTAGATGGTATTAAATATATTGCTGGTTCATGGTCTGCACTGAACATGTCCGGCGCACATCACTTTATATTTTCCACACTGGTTCATTATTATGTGTCGTAGTCTTATATTGAAGTGAACCTATTTCTGGGGAATGTTGATATATGTTTCTGGACCTGGTTGTAGGCTTGCAGGCTAAATTACATATGCTCGATAATACAGGGACAGGGGGAGCGGGGGGGGGGGGCATGGTCCCCCCACTTTTTCGGTGGATAATAAAAAAATACCAGAAAAATCCAGCCTGCCTGTGTCGAATAGCTCCCGTGCTATCTGCCCCCACTTCAAAACAGGCTCCGCGGTCCCTGTAATATGGCCATTTGTATGAGCCTATAAAAACAAAGGTGTAACATACCCCCCCCCCGGCATTTGACTTTTTGGATTTTGCAATGATCAAATCCCCCACCCTGGCGCCCCAATTAAAAAAATAGGTACTCTTGTTTGAATTATTGACTATAAATGTATCATATTAACAGTACATTATCATCCCATATATAATTAATAGACAATCGATATTAATTTAAAAACATGCATGGTGAATCACAGAAAAGCTTTCTCATGCAACTTCGACTTTGGGCAATCTTCTAGGATATAACAAAAAGTTTTTATCGGACAATTTTGACTTATCAACAGTCAGTCAAACAAACAGTTTCTGATAGAAACACCTTCAGTTGTCACCCTGTAGAAAGCTGCCATATTTGTTTTGCTGCCTGTTGGCAGGCATACAGCCCTGATTAGTCGACCTGAGTGTTTAACACACACACACAACTCGATAGCATAGTATCTAGCGCTCCCCGCAGGTACAAAAATGCAGCTTAAATGCCCTACATTCCACAACTAAGTGGTGGTTGAATGCCCCATTGTAAATTTAATTTGAAGGTCAAATTCTTCAACTTTCAACTTCCCCAGTCCATTCTGGTCCAACCAATCTTTGAACATATAAATTCACATTTTGACTTTGAAAATCTTTTAATAAAAATTTCACAAGTCTATCTATAATACTGTATACGTAGTCTTCATGTTAGACAAACTAAAAATTTTAGTTGTGGTCAAATCCCTGTCTTCGATCATTATAAGTGGAATCAAATGCCCCACCACTTTAAGTTTTCTTGACAACAAATGCCCACCCCTGGGGAAAATTACAAATGGCAAATGCTCCTCTCGTGCCCTGGGGATGTTACATCTAACATCTTCATTTTGGTTGGTGCATTATTGCCTGAAGGTACTGTAGTGCTCGTTAATAAAACAATGTACTAGAAAATACATGCATGCAAAAACCACTGAGCTGTATAATAACTGGAGGACCTGCTCCTATGTATTGCCAAAAACATGGTGGATTTGATGTGATCTTAGAAATGCCCTCTGAACCCGATGCCAAAGTGCATGCAACCTTTTCCTCCTATAAAAATCACAATACTAAAAATCACAACATGCAAAGCGGCTTATTGGTATTTCCCCTCGAGGAGACGTTGTATTTGTATCCGAGCTTTATGCTGGCAACAGATCAGATCAACAAATTACAAGAGATTTTGGCATCCTAAACTTGCTTGAGCCCAAGGATGAAATTATGGCTGACAGAGGGGTTGCCATTGAAGGAGAGTTGCCAAGCGGGATCTCACTAAAAATACCACCCTTTTCGCACAATCAACCCCAGCTTTCGGAACAGCCGATGAAGTTACAACCAGGCGAATTGCAAAGCATCCCATAGAGAGAACAATACAAAGGATTAAAAGCTATTGCATTCTACATCAGACCTTAATTTTAGCATGGCTGTAGATCTAAATAGAATTTTGATCATATGTTCTTATCTGACCCTATTTAATAAACCGCTAAACTTACTTATGTTATTGAAGTAGTCAGTGCGGATGACATTTATTTTGTTAAACAAATTTGAATGTTTATAACTTAGATATATATTCAGTTCATATGTGTGTACACTCTATAATGGGTCATTCCAGAAAAATCCACATCCACTAGACCACTACAGTGAAAAAGAGGCAACTACATATTTTCAATTCCCTTCAAGGGGAAAATGTGGCATTTCTAGAACAACCAAATGTTAAAGAGTATAATGTTTATGAATGTGTGTAAAAATTGTTTGCAAAATTAATTGCATGTTTACACAAGCTCCATTATGTAATCGAAATGAAAGGAAGTTAGTTTGGTAACATCTTTGATTCCCAATTCTGTAATGTGTAAAAACAACAAACTTAATTAAGTCAATTCCCAAACAATGAAGCAGTCTCGCACTGCTGTTGTTTCCAGATTACATTTTGTGACTTCAAATGGGATATTTGTCTTACAGTAATTTTGTGTTTCTTCTTTTTACAGTTGACCAGTATTTGTGCATATCATCAATTGATTTTAAGAGACAATGCCTTTTTGTAAGTATGCAAGAAACACTGGATTCTGATTGGATAATTATCGCTCGCGCATGCCCAGTACATGATGTCTGTTCAGGATGCTTTGATCTTGCCATTCTTGATTCTGCATGAAACTCCATTCGTTTCTGCATGGAATTCTTTATAAACAGCCCTAGTTTTCCTTTTTCATTCAAAAACTGAACGGAGAAATACGGCCAGCCAACGTACTAATATTTTGTAATACGCCCTCAGATGTTTATTTAATAATTAAGAATAGGCGTTTTATGGGCCTTGCCTATATTAATGTCGCACTACCTGACAATCAAATTGGCTCTCCACCAATGGGAATTTTACGTTGTTTAGACAACGCCGTGTTCATATTTGTCTCTAATCAGCTGTATAAAAGGCGTTAAGGCCACGCGAGTTGACGCATAATGATAATAGTCGTGATCGGTATTAATTGGATAACCGGTTTAAATGATAATGAGAGTTGATATGATTTGCCGTCAAACATTGTTCAGGGGATATTTCAAGCATGTATATTAACAAAAAAAGTCAAGTCAATAGCTTCACTTACATGTCGAGTCAATGGCTTGATGACTTGAGTTAAGGAAACAGTTGAATTTGAGTTGACTCAGTCAAGGAATTTGATAAATTTCGCACCACATATTCTCTAATGGATCAGTACGCTGACTGGCAATCTGTGAAATTACTGATCAATCAGATCCACCTTAATAAAATTTAAATAAATATTGAATTTCAGTCATTTAATAATCTCATTATCCATTACATGTAAAATTATCCAGGGCTTTATTTATAAATTACTTGTTTTTTTAAACCATTTGGATTAGTATTATATTATGTTTGTGATGTTACTCTGAGTGTGTATCCACACGGGGCAAGCTTGAAAAATATGCCTGGCCACGGTGGGAATCGAATACAAATTATATACAATGTTGTGTAATTTCTTATAACATTATATCCCAAACTTTAGCGTTGTAAATGTTTCTTTAACACCAGTTTAATTCTGTTTCCTTCACTGTTATTTTCCATATCATACCCAACACTTCGCACGGTTATAAACCTGCCATGTAATTTCCTCATAATCTATTGCGCATTTTGCATGTCATCAGGCTTCTACAAATTCATTATTTGCCAATGATGTTAAATTCAACTCTTCTAAAGGTTTTGCGCACAGAATATACGAAGATGTGGTAACTTTATGAATTAAATTCCATGTTTGTCCGCCAAGACAAAAACTGCTAGGCGCTCCCCAGGACGCACCCTTCCCAACAGCCCATGCAGCCCCTTCATGCGTCGCCTGCCTGCCTGCCTGAACACTTCATGTATCCTAAATGGTGTATATCCCTCATATATTTAAAGCGCCTGGGTACGAGGCAGACTCTTGCATGTGCCTGATTTTTAAATTGTACACAAGACCATGCATTTTAATTTTAACAGGTGCATTTCAACTTAAAAAACAAGGTACAAAATTAGCCATTAAAGACACTAATAAAGCCTATTTGTTTTTAGGGCGTTGTCGAGCTATGCATTCTTCCACTTCAAAGCAACCTAAATAAACTGAAATTGAACTGCAAACAACTTCATATCCTTTTATTTATCAATTCATTTATTTGTCTCTTGTGATTTTATAACTCTACTATTACATGAATGTAATATGCCCCAGGGAGAGGAAAATCAGATGGAAAGAGAGGTGTGTGGACGAGAGTGGAAGGCATATTGGGCAGATGTCTGTCGGTTCAGTTAAGACAAAATTATGGAAAAGCATGTAAACGATAACACCGCGCAAAAGCATACGAATCATTTTCTATTTTTTTAAATAATATTTGGATACCTCGGAATATTTGAGAAACAGACATAATTACAGCACAGTACATGTAGCACATGTTTGTATAAGCGTGCATGGATATAGTTTTTTTAAACGTATTTGAACTTTTATGTCGGACGAAATGTTTCAAATCCATTTTATACGCGTCACAGACATTAAAAGATTTCATATATGATCGTGAATTTCTGCATTATGGTGAACAAATGTATTTTGAAGAACTAGTGTTGGTTAATTCTTGCTGGTAACAAAACCTTTTTTTATATATTTGACCGTCATATTTTAGCAATTTGTATCAGTCAGTCGTCTTACCTAAAAGTATTGAATCCAGTTTTGACTATAGCTTTCCCTTAGTCTTAGACTTATAGAAAAATATGTAACCTCCTTACTGCAGACGTCTCATGGGTCACCGTCCCTTGGGTTCCTCAGTTTCGTACACAGATATATACCTGTTTGCAGGTTTGGTGCCCACTGACTAACTTGCAGGTATTCTCTGGCCCGATTGGAAATTACGGACACAAATTGACATCTAAGATGAGCTATCTCATCTTAACTGAGCACGCAGTGGCGGAAATTCACTTTTTCCGGGGGGGGGGGCAAATGGGGGTATTTCCGACATACCCCCATTTGCACTCGAAAAGACTATTTTTAGCCCTCTTTTAGGTCAAAATTTCCGAAAATTGGGGGGGCGCCCCGCCCCACCAAGATTTCCGCCACTGAGCACGAGTGGATTGAGCTGATGTTCAACGAATATTAATGTGGTAAACTACTAAATTATTTCAAATTATAGTCGGCAAAGTTTTTGATTTTTGCTAGAAGTTTGAGGTTAAAAAATATCATGTGACTCAAGCGTATAATTAAGAACATTTGAATTACAACTTGAGCATCAGTGTGCTGCCTACAAATTATGATGTTATGTAATAAATGTTCAGCGACATTGGCTTTTTTTCTGTGAAGAGATTGTGGTCAGATGTGTACTTTTTCGCCAGCAACCAAATTTTTGCCTCGTAATATATAAATACGATGCCTGCATGAATGCGGAGCAGGCTGCATGAGCTCATATTTTTTCGCCTTCTTGCCCGCCTACTTCTCTTCCATCTTTTTTTCCAGCATTATAAAGGTGGTGGAAAAATAAATGTAAAACACCCAATATATCATAAAATTATCCTACAATGTGAGTCAGTATAATTATTTCTTAACACTTCTTAAGGATATTTAGAGTTTGTGTTCAAGACAAAGAAAACAGTGTTTGGTTTGATGCTGGCTTTCAACATGACGATGCAGAGGAAAATCTTTGCAGCCAAAGTAAAAAGTGAGTTACCGTATACATTAGTGCGCTTATATATAGGGTGGTGGTGCAACGCCAGTAATTTCACTGATCTTAAGATATGAACTTGAGATAAGGAACTTCAACATGCCTTTTGCTAAATTTAAACTAAATCCGTACTCCAAGTGATATTGTACAAATATATTAAATTAGTTTGCATTCACACGAAAAAGTTTGAGAAAAATGGCCACAAAACCATGTGTATCAAAATCTTTCTGTATCAAAATCTACTTTTCCCTCCATTTTCTCAAAAAAATGTGCTCGCCCCAGGCTACTCCGCATCACACGCCGATCGGCGTGCGCACGCTCGTCGCACTACCCAACAGGGGTGAGTTATATGGTGACGCATAAAAGGAGTGTTTCGTGGATTTATCTGGTTTTAGAGGAATACATTGTTTTGCTTAAAATTTATGATTTGAAAACAGGCAAGCTCGCTTTTTTTGGAAAATTTATCTATATTTTATATTGCCCATCATTTGTTTAATCTAAATAGAAACAGATTAAATTGACTTTATAAGCTTTTAAAGGGCAGTGTCACCAATTTTTGACCAAAAATGACTTTTATTCAGAGTCTGCGAATTTGAAAATAAACATTATAAATATGTTCAGTTATCGTATACGAATCATATTAAACAACTTTGAACTTCTCCACAGCATGTAAGACGACGTTTTCATACAAATTGACTTAAACTTGAAAAAGTGTCCGCCAACAATTAATCAAGATATCATTTACAATCCAACTCAATCCTCGCCTAATTTCAACCATTCAGACTTCTGTACATGCTTCTTGTATTTGTTATTGTTTTATGCTGTGCTTACAACCATTCTTTTTAGGTTTTGTGCAAGATTCCTAAAGATTTGCGAGGGTCAATATCGGTGACCCTGCCCCTTTAAGATATGGTTAACTGATCTGGAAAATTTCTGTATTTTTTTACACATTTTACTAAAGAATTAATAAGCATGTATACACACAAGAACAACTGTGAAAAATGCAACACTAGATCCTCTGGCAGGAATCAAACCTATCCGGTGCCGCGCTCTAACCAACTGGGCTAAACAGTCCAGTTATCTAGCTCTAACAGTAGGTATTATTATTAAACGGTTTATCATGGCTAGAAATCTGCGACAACATGGCCGACACGCACGCTTAGCTCCTTTGTAATGTAAATATTAAGTGAATAAGTTTAATAACCAGAAAAGCATTACGTTAACTTGCCTTTTCGGCTTTTGTTGGTCCTACAAACCAAATATGACGATTCCATAAATCGATCTTGAATGATAATCGTCGTAGCTACATACTTGTTCACGTTTCAGTTCAAAATTCGATGCAGGCTTTGTTCCCGAAGCAAAACAATTTTGCAGTAATTTGCACGTATAATCACGCGCACTTTACTAGTAATCCAGGTTATTTTCACGATGAAACCCCATAATCGCTTCAGTTTTCAGGCTGATCGTACATCAATATTGGATTTCCATAAATTGTAATCAATACACTTTGTTCTCCCCATGAATTTTATCACAATTTTATCTAAAGATATTATATCAATACTGTTCCCAAGTAGAGGAAAGAATGATATATTTTGCCTCTATTTTCCAATTTAAAATCGCCTTGTTACTTCGCTAAAACGCGATGCAAGCGCATCGAAATTTTGCTTTTTTTCATATTCTTGTTCGTGATTCATATTCTATAAAGTTGAGATTATCAGCTAGTGACATAAAATATTAAGTGTTGGACATAATTATGTCACTGACATGATTTACTTATCATTCAGCCGTTCCGCACGTTGTAACCAATAATTTATTGGCGTTGTAATGCCATTGTATGCAATAAAGTATTGGGTTGTAATGGGTCTACAATTAATCCAAACGTTAATCCTAATCCAAACCCTAATCCTAACCCCAACATCTAACCCTAACCCCTAACCACACCTCCTAACCCCTAACCCCCCACCTCCTAACCCTAAAGCCGGCCCGCTACCCCTCCGGGGAAATTATACATTTAAAGAGCGTTTCTTTATGTACTTTCCGGCTTTTCAATATGTTCATTAACATGACGTACTGACGGTGCGTGCGCCTGCATTACAAACCGCTGGCTGTCGCAGATTTCTAGCCATGTAAAATCAAATCATCTCGCAGCCCGGAGGCTGAATTACATGATTTTTACAATAATTATATTAAGAAATATATAATTTCTTAATAACTTTACAATTAGATCTTTAATAACTTTACAATTAGATCTTATTGAGGATAAAAATACTGAGGTAAAATGTTATAAATGTAGAATAAAAAAACTATAATAAGTTCTTTGAATGTTTGCATGGCGATAAAATATGCAGTAATAAATTGCTGCAGTAATAAATTTACGTGGTGTTTCCACAAACAAAAACAATTAAAAAAACTATAATTAGACTAGTTCTAAGAGACTTGATATAATGTAAGTTCGCTGCTTTAGTTGTTATCTTATCCACATGGGCATTCCACTTCATGTCTTGAGTGATCAATAAACCGAGAATCATTGCTTTTTCAACACGCTCCACGTTAATTTCGTTTATCTTTATCGGCGGGAAAACAGGTTCATTACGTTGAAAGTTAATCACATCGCATTTTGTCGGGTTGAGTTCAAATTGATTGTAAGTGGACCAATTCACAATACAATTAGTAACATCTTGCAGGGAACTCGTATACTCTTGATTAAATATATATTCAGAAACATTGGTGTCGTCTGCGTATTTAAACATATCACCTTCAAATCATCAGATGGGATCGAAAGATCGTTAATCACAAGGAGAAATAGCCATGGGCCCAATTTAGTTCCCTGAGGAACTGCAGCATTTATAGGCTTCCAATCTGAAAAACAGTCCGAGTGGAGCTTTACTCTTTGTGGTCGTACACGTAGGAAATCTACTATCCAATTAAACACCGATGGTTTAACACCAATTTGCTGCAGTTTCTGGCAAAGAACGTTATGGTCTATTAAATCAAATGCCTTCCGATAATCCGTAAGCAGCGCTCGTACGGTTCCGCCCCTCGCATCCACAGTTTCTGTCCAACGATGAATTAAGAATATTACGGCCAATGTAGTACAGGAGCCAGGAATGAAACCATATTGATTGGGATCTATACATGACATTATTGAAGACTTTAGATCATATAAGATGACAATTTCCTCAGCGATTTTGCACGATGATGATGTGAGTGATATAGCCCGCAGATCTTTATTAACGTCGAATACAATCTTATTTTTGGGAATGGGACATACGTTTGCTACCTTCCACACCGCGGGTATAGCCGTTCCTCCCGGAAAGCTAAAGACGCATTCAATATCACTGTAACAGGTTCGGCAAGTAAATCTGCAAACGATTTCAACACCCAATTCGGTAGATTATCGGGGTCACTTGATTTACCCGAACCGATACGCTGTAAATGAGACAACACTTCTTCGACAGAAACAGCAACTGGGGTATCGTTTTCAGATATAACAGCCACATTATCGTTTAAAGGAGGGTAATTAAGCATGGGTTCCAAAAACGTGTCATCAGATTACTAAGAACAGTGGGATCTTGTGTATCCTGTTCTAGGTTTGCAAAAATATTATCGGGTGTTCCCATGGAAAGACCACAAAACTGTTTCACTTCCCTCCACCAGTCCTTTGGTTTAGTATGCTTCATATCTTTGACCTTATTTTCATAATACAACTTGCGACACCTTTTGCTGGAACGATTGACTTTGTTTCGTAACATTTTGTAAAGTGTTTGGTTACCTTGAGCAAAAGCTTTTTGCCTTCTATTAATAAGGGTTCTCAAGTTATTATTCATCCATGGTCGATCGTTGTGGTTTGTTACTACAGCTTTCAAAGGTGTTAAGGTATTCAAAGCGTAGTTGATAACACATTAAAATAAAATATTTTAATGTGTTAAAATAAGTATAAATTATTTAAGTTTTCTTCACATGATCGGTTGGAGCTAAGATACCATAAAATCCCATGGGACTTCAGAAAGAAATTTCCCTACACGCCTTATACTACTGGGTCTTTTGTCGCGAACATAAAGTACTTTTTACTCTGCGTCCCTTTACTTCGAATATTGGGAAATGCAAGGATAGTTAGGTGATCTGACAGTGGTATACCATATGGTTTGTCGTAGAAGTCAGCAAGGTAGTGATAATATGAAGTGAATAATGTTTTTGCACTTCACTTGGCTGAACCTGAATGCTGGGTTTGGTGGATAACCCAATTGATGATTCCCCTTATTACGTTTTCGTAGCTATTTGCATTGTGGTTGTAGTGGTATCACTGATAAAGATAGCGGCCTCGAATGAAAATATTGAATGTTTTCGCGAATATATTCCTGTTGGCTATCGCGCACCTGACCCTATAGCTTTTATAAAAGTCCTTGCACGAGTCAGGACAAAAAAAAAACATCTTGAATATCAGTGATACCACTATAACCACAATGCAAAGCGTTACGAAAAAGCGCAAATTGAGCAAATATATCCCCTTTTATTGACCTAACCAGGAACTGTTGCAAAAAATGCAAAACAACAATCAGTGACAAAACACTTTGGACAAAATACCAAAAGAGCGTATACGTTTACAACATAATCGACCCGCACCCCCTGTTCAATGTTGTGTGTGGAAATACCTGCGCAAAATGTTCCTTGCCAGCGACCCAACATTGCTTAAGGTGGGGGAGGGAGGGACAGTGTTATTATGCTGAACAGTATTTGGAAATGCGCAGATATGTATATATTATATCACTGTCCAAAAACCTTTTGTCACTGATGTAAATAAATAAATAAATATCTGAAGATAGATCTACATAATGTAGCTATAATATCTTCGTGATATATATATTATCTCACGCAGCGTTGTGAAATAATCAATATGAGAGAAATACCGTTAAAAATTACAGAATAAAGTCGCACATATTATCCTACACCTAGACTATAGATAGTCAGCTCTGTAAAAGATCGTGCTTTTGAAAAGTTCAATTTCCTGCATGTATGCGTGTGCTTTAACTTGCTATAATAAGTTGGTTATTATCTCGCGATGTTCACATTAATGTAACGTGAACAACAGTTGTCGCCTGAAGACGGACATTTAAAATGTCCGAAACGTTGCAAATTTAAATAAATTAACCTTTTGTAGCTATATATCCTTGAGAAATAAAAATAAGAAATAAATTAATGTATTTTTAGTTTAAATGTATTAAAGTTAAAATATGAAAGGTGAACCTTTCAGAAACTACTTGGAATCCAAACTTTAAATTCGTTATCTCTACTGTATCGTAAATATTTGTTATATTTTCATACTAGTGTTTTTGAGATTTTGTTTAAATTGTCCTTTCGAGTTACATCTATGAGAAACATGTTTTTTAATGACCGAACAGTCAAATCTTTAATTTGTGCCTGTTTTCCCCATCATTTCGCTGTAATTTAATTATCTTCATTAAAATAATCTTCTTAATTTGTATATGCATGTTTATTCTATTCGACACAGGAGAAGTTTGGAACATTTTGCTACTTCACTTCAGAATGCGGTTTCATCAGTGGAACCTGAAAACGGTGGAGGTGAATTAACCATTAAATTGCCAAAGGAATCGCAGAAGTTTGTTTCAGAAAAGAAAAAATTTCGCTTAAGTATCGAGTTCTCATTGGAACATCCAAAAGGAGGAATTCAATTTGTTCTACCTGCTGGAAATGGAAGCGTTGACGAGGTGCACCTTTATCGCTCTATAGTTTGTAGAATATGACATGATTTTCATCCTTATCTAAAAGACAAACTTGAGTTTGAATTTTCTTGAATTTTCTTAAAGACCATGTAAAGTCCGTTCTGCGCATACGTTCTGCGCAGGCTTACATTCCAATGGTCGGGACCCGACCGTTGGAATGTTATTAATATTTCGTATCTTTTGAACTTTCTTGAATTGAATCTCTAGTCTGTATTCATTTTCAAGCATAGCGAACCAAAAGAGTGTTAAAAATTCAGTATAATATATATCTAATCATATTTTACAACTGTAGCACTGACTAATATTATTAGCTCTACTACGGTATTGAGCACTTTACTCATATATGATTCCAAAATCCAAACTCGATACTTGTGTATAATAAAATCCCATGCATTTTGCCGGGTTTGCTACTGAATTGGGTGAAATAGGTGAAAATCATGGGAATTCGTAAATTATAAATCGCTTTTTTACGCAAAAACACAACAGTTTGTGTAGCAACCGTGAGGAGTGACGGAAGTATGAATTAATACATATTGGATGCAAATCCATCGTGCTTTTCGCGCTAAGAGTTCAAGGGTTTTGAGAGGACAACCTCAATTAAATTAGCTGTATTTTGGAGTCGAAGAGTGAAGTTTCCTCCGGCACACAAAATACACAAGTAAAATTCCTCACTTTTTGCTGCAGAAAGATGTAAATTGTAAGACGGAATTAATCGGAAAACCAGGTTTGAATCCCAATCATTGTACTCTTCTCATGGAAAAAGTGTTTTCTCTCACATTTTTGCTCAAAAACAAACTTTGACTGAATTTTTCTTACTTCTCAGAACTCTCCTTAGTCCTTTTGAAAGCTGATTTTCCCGCGCGTAGGCTTGGACGAATGTGGTGACGTCAACTAAACTGCAATTGGCCTGTTGTACCAATTTCCGGCACAAGTTGATTAGCGTAGATTATGTTGAGACTGGGAAATCTACACAAGAAAATAAATCAATCTTGCATGGGTACCATGTCGAGCTAGGAGATTAGCGCATGTGGCTTAGCTAATGCGACGCACATATCGAGCTGCGATCAGGAGAAAAATAAGCGATAACTGGGTAAAATTTTGATGTTTTAATATTCTGTATATTGTTTATAATTACTATTATGAGTTATGCGCACTCGCATCCCCATCTTGTCCCAAATTCCCGGCAATGACTGTGTACCATCTTTTTTTTATAGAAATCCGCTCACATGTTCACATACAACCATGGAAATACATCCAGGTATATTATTGTATATTATTATATAACATAATTATATGGTTTTGATATCAGAATTATATTCAAGGCCTAGTTTTCACTACAGCGCAGGCATAAACGTAAGCATAAAACGCTAAACAATCAAACATATTTTCTTTTTGTATCTGCACGCGTAAGTTAAGTTTGTCAACCACGGCTTTTTAACGACGACGTAATGGCGGCCGCCGGTGGGGGAAGGTAATGTTTTACTGTTCAAATTTGAATTGTAGTGTTGAAATACGAACGATTTGAGTAAAATACGAACGAGTGAATGTGCAAGTATTTTTGGTTTATATCAACGATCTCTCGTTATGTTTACAACAAGCACCTCAATTTGCGGATGACACGGCGATCTACTGGGCAGCCTCTTGTCCTAATGAGATTCAGACCAAATTGAATGAAGACATGCTTCATCTAATATCTTGGCTAGATGATATTAGGCCTAGATTGTCCTTAAATTTACCAAAAATTAAATTTCTGCTGATAGATGGTGGGCAACGACTGAAGCGTTTTGGTTCCCTGGAACTGACTATTGATAATCATATTTTGGGAAGAGAATCTATAGCTATAAATATCTTGGAGTTATTATCAATGAAGCGCTTTCTTGGGCTGACTATATCGACTGCGTTAGAGCCAACGTGGCAATATGCATCAAACATCTACTGCCATTCCATGCAAGGCTTTTAAAGGTTGTTAACAGCTTGTCAGCTTTATTTTTCTTCTTCTGGATTATGGAGATTTAGTTGGCGTGACAGAAACGAATGTATCCCTGCATGATGAATGATCTGCAAATTTTTCATAAAGCTGCCGAACAACCGAACTATGCTTCTAGTAACCAGGCTTTTTCAATGTTGAAGTGGTGTCAGCCTAATCCCTAGGCCTCTTAGTTCGCCTATTGCGCGTTTCTCACGGAAATCAAAAGCGTGCACAGAGGACTTGGGACTAGTCTGAAGTGGTGTTTATAGTCGTATAGAAGACAATTTCGTAGACGCAGCTTTGTTTATAAAGCTCCTTCTTCATTAAAGTACTGTTTAATAAACGAGCAGGAGTGTTTTATTAGGTTTAAAGTCACGAGCGCGCACCGCGAGTAGCTTTAGACCTAATAAAACACGACCTGCGAGTTTATGCGAGAAATTCAATATATATACTGCCTTATTAGTATTCTTTATATGAAGAATACTAATGATAACACGACTACATTAAATACTATTGGTGGATTTGACAAAAATACAATGCACACGTGACGTTGAAGGACCATATTTATGAATAAACGTTGACTAATATAGATAATGAGTTATATTGTTATTCTGATGAGTTTCACCGCCATCTTCCCTTCGATAGGCTATGGTTATGCCTAGCATGTTCTTTTAAATAAATAAATAAACAAATATCTGTGATTTTCCTCCATTTTATACTCACCGGCCCTAACAAACCACTATAAATTCGGAAAGGTTAATCAGGATTCATCCAATAACTATTGCTTTGAAAATTTAAATTTTTTGACGGAAAACCCTCTATAGTCTGGTAGCGTAGCTTGTTAGTAGTGGAGCGTCTATAAATCAATCAAATCAATCAATCAAAAACTTTATTTTAACACGGTGAAATCTACAGTATAACATTTTACAAGATAATTAACTAACATATAATTACAAATTACGCTATGACAATTAATACACTTTAAACATATCCAAACACTAAAATACTGATTTACAAGATTGCCGTACGGGAGTCCATCTCATATAGAGAACAAATTGTCAATTGCTGTTTTGAATTCACTTAGGGAGCATGTTGTTCGTACATTTTGTGGTAACTCGTTCCATAAAACTGCCCCGCTATAACTGAAACTTCGCTTCCGTAGTTGGTTCTTGGTTTTGGTACAAATAAGGTGTGTTCAGAGTTTCTTAAGTTATATTCTGTGCTGCGAGATTCAAACAATTCACGGAGATAAAACGGAGTTGGATCGTTAATTGTTTTAAACATTAGTATAGCCTTATGCTTTTTCCGACGTGTTAAAAGATTATCCCAGCCCAGCTTACTAAAAAGGTCGCTGGAACTAGCATCATATTGAGATTTAGTGATGACTCTCGCTGCCCTATTTTGCAATTTTTGCAATTTGTCATTTAACGTGATATTCACTATGAGCGAATAGTCAACGAGGCGAAGCCGAGTTGACTATTTGCTCATAGGCAACGAGGCCGAGTTGTCTAATTGTTTTAGTATAAACTTTAACATTAATTTACAACTAGGCTGCAAACACAATACAAAAATACACAAAAAAAAAACATTATAAAACCATTAAAGGTAAACAAATATTTTAGTTTCTGTTCGCGTAAAATGTTTTACAAAATTCGGTTTTAATTTTAAAATTTCATTGAGTGTATGTTATTTTGTCTATTTTCTTACCCTTAAAAATTGCCATTCCATATTTTTGTTGCTTTTTCGGGGATTTTTAGTACAGAATTGTTGAACAAGTCGTCCAAAAAAATCATCAGACACTTCGGGAAAAGTGCAAAATGTGAATTTTCCGCCATTTTGAATTTTCTATTAGTAGGCTATCACTAATAGCCTACTAGTAGCGTAGCCAATCAGAAGCCACGATATGTGATAGCCTACTAGTAGGTTTATACTAATAGCTAGTAGCCATTGATGAAGATTTTTCAATTCAGAGTTTAATATTTGCTCAAGCTCTGTGACGGAATTTGCTGCGATGCTAATATTAGTGTCGTCAGCAAACATTCTTGGAGAGGCTCTGTCGAGACAATTAGGCAAATTATTTATGTATATTAAGAACAGTTGAGGTCCCAAGTTACTGCCTTGTGGTACCCCACAGGTTATTTTAGCAGTTTTAGATAACTCACCATTGACGCAACATCTTTGACTGCGGTTGCTTAGGTATGATTCGAAGAATTTGATACCATTTTCATCAACGCCATAAATTCGTAACTTCCGTAAAAGAATCGTGTGATCAATAGTATCAAATGCTTTTTTAAGATCGATCTTTTTTAAATGCGCGAATTAAGTATAGTTACCAACTTGGCCTTGTATGAGAATGATTTTGCAGGGGGAAAATTGGTCTTATGAATCCCCATTTATCACTTTCCCTATGAAAATTTTGATGTATTTTTTTATTATACAAAGGCTATGGTTCCCATGTGTTGACTCATTTTCCGAAGTTTGTACGTGGAAAATTGATGTGACAGTAGCTAAAGATTTGATTGCTGTTTCATGTGGTGAGCTTATTGAGCAGGTAATTTAAGAGAACAGTAACCTTTATAACAGTGTTCAATATTGCTGTTTCATGTGGTGAGCTTATTGAGCAGGTAATTTAAGAGAACAGTAACCTTTATAACAGTGTTCAATATGACAGTCGCCCATTAATTTGTTTAGCCAAACGCCAGTTTGCATGGGTTCGTACAGGTCGTCAAAAGTCATGAAAGTCCTTATATATTTTTCGGCAAAATTAAGTACTCGAAAGTCTTTAAATTTAATGTTTCATCATTTATATACGGAATAAAGAGAACTACATTCTGACTCACATGCATTCTCCTTTCCAGACTTCACCAATTGATGAAAGGCATGCGAAAAAAAAGAAAATAAAGAGGCGAAATTTCCGTAAATTACTTCATTTTCCATTTCACAACCTTTATCGTTTTTGAGGGGATCTAAAATTTAATGATAGCATTCTACAGGGTGTACCAGAAAAAAGTAGACAATTGATGATTCCCCTTATTACGTTTTCGTAGCGCTTTGCATTGTGGTTATAGTGGTATCACTAATAAAGATAGCGGCCTCGAATGAAAATATTGAATGTTTTCGCAAATATTTTGCTGTTGGCTATCGCGCATCTGACCCTAGCTTTTTTTTTTAAAGTTCTTGCACTGGTCAGGACAAAAAATAAGCCATCTTGAATATCAGTGATACCACTATAACCACAATGCAAAGCGCTACGAAAACGTAATAAGAGGAACCTAGTATTTTGAAACAATTTCACAAATCCGTTCATGTCATGAAATTTTTGATAAATATAGATTTTTTGGTACTTATAATGTAGTATTAACAAAACAAAAAAAAATGGAAAAATAAATTTTCTAGAGCAGGGGTGTGTGCCTTTTTTAGCAGCATTAAAATAGCTTACGTGCGAAATTTTTAAAAGGTTAATGGGCGAGAAATTTGTTATGTGTTTTAGTAATGGTCCAAATATCAGAAAATTTGCTCAATTTTAAGTCCTTCAAATGGCTGCTGAAACTTTCATTTCTTGGCACCAATGCCTTTCACGCATGCTAAGATTCATGCATTATACCTAATTCGCATATTGTTATTGTATAAAAAGTAAAATAAAAATATGCAAATTAGGTAAATGCAATGAATTAAGTATGCGTGAAATGCATTGGTGCCAAAAATGAAAGTTTCAGCAGCTATTTGAAAGACTTAAAATTGAGCAAATTTTCTGATATTTGGACCATTAATAATAATTTTGCGCCCAAGCATTTTTTAATGCTGCTAAAAAGACACACACCCCTTCTCTGGAAAGTTTTTGAAACGAAAATGTTTTGTTTATTCTACATTGTAAGTACCCAAACAACCTATATTTATAAAAAATTTCATGACATGAACCGATTGGTGAAATTGAGAGCCGTTTCAAAATTGTCTACTTTTTTTATACACCTGTATAATAACTGCCGGAAATGGAAAGTGCACGAGGTCAATGTTAATGAGTACACAAAATTTGGAGATTTTATTTCGAAAACAGTGGCAATGGCGCTATTATTAGGAACGCATTTTATTGCATGGAATGGTGGCTTGAAGGACATGCATGTATCCCGTTCAATACATCCCCCTATTACATTTTCTGCTTTTAGAATTAGAAACGATGCCAGTGCCACAATTAGTCACCACTGAAATTCTGTGTAAACTATACATCAAACTGAAATTTACTCAAAAACCAATCTCGTACCCAGAGCAATCCCGTTCGCAGGTTAGGGTTGGGCTGGTTCTGGGGAAATGGAATTGATTCACGTTGCATTTGCGACGTGAAATGTATGGTTTGATGTATAATCCTACCAAGCATTTTACTCGTTTCTCGTATTTTTTCTCGCATAAATGACCTGGGACCCTTAGTTATTTATCCATCTAGTATAGTCTGGTTAATTTACTCAGGAAGTCCTGTTCAAATTAACTGGACTATAGGTTAGAATAACATGCAATAATTATTGATTGGCCAATTTCGACATCTGTTGAAAGTGGGCGTAGCCCGAAGGCTAAGTGAGTGGGAATGGCAAAATAGTAGATCTCGTGCAGGCTCTCCTTTCCTCTGAGAGCCACTATACGCAGGCTATCGAGATTATCGGCCAGGACTCCGCCCTTACAGGCGGCTTCCCGGGCAGGGTATAACTGTGAAATGTACTGTTTTTGTTTTAAGGTATACACTGGCGATGAGAAATATAAAACATTTTCGTATGTTCTGGATGTGCCAACAGCAGCACCAAATATCGCATTAGCAGTGGGGTATGTTGTGCTCTATTTCAAGCTGCTTAAAATCTTAAAGTATGGCATGCCGGTTGTGGGTTTTCTGGCGCTAGTAAATTGCTACAGTCCTTATATTGACTTGTTGCCTATTGAAAGACCAACGTCGGGCGTAATATGATCGTGGCAAGCTTTTTCACTGAAACTTGGGACGGTTGTTCAAAGCCCAATCAGCGCTAACTGTGGGTTAAATTTAACCCATTATTCTGGTTTATGTATATCCGATGTCTATTTATCTCAAAACTTTAGAAAATTAAACTTCTGATGATCCAGACGAGATATCTGAAAATAAGCTGCTAGAATTGCTTTGAATTTCACGTTAACCCAGGGTTAAGCTAACCTGCTTTGAGCAACCGTCCCCAGGCTTCTAACAGGAAATTTAATTATCGTATTTCCTATATGCTGTAAAAATTTCTATGCAAGTGATATTGATGATTTTTACCGATATTGTCTGAAAGTATCAATATTTACTTGCGTTTTTCTTTGCAGGCCCTTCGAAATGTACATTGATCCTGTAATGCCTGAGGTTGCACACTTTTGTTTACCTGGTTTGCTGCCGTTGCTAAAGCAGACCACTGGCTCCCTAAACGAGGTACTACATATCAACTATGATATTTTCTAATAGTTTTTGCGCCCGATGTCTTTTAGACCGCGGAGCGTATAATGCTATCAACTCAGTGCAGTGGAGATTCACAGGAAATGACCATGATGTAATATGATAGAAAAAAACAGTTATAGTCTGCCAAGATATGTTGGTCCAGCGAACTTCAAAGCTACAAAATAGAAGACCTTTGTTTGATGTTGAACTGTACCTAGCTCACCATGCACAAATTATTTGTCTTAATATAGTATACATGGGTGATCGTGGTTGCACGTTTCATCTCTGCAATCCCTAATGGATGAATACTTCATTAACCGAAAATACAATGAGCTCAGTGACAAATTAACATAAACTCAGACAAAAAATAATGCGATAACTTCTGTTTCGTTTCCAAACCATCATATCAACCATAATACGCTAAAATGCAGTCAAACCGGGTTTCATATGCTGTGCATGTAACAATAAGAGAAATTTTATTCAAAATTCCCCACCCACCCTACTAGCAATTTCTTTGTCTAAAAGAAACTTTACTTATTATTACTTTGATTCCATACTTTGGCAGCAGTATATCTGAAAGTCCTTTTTATTGAATTGGTTTTGGGCTTCGACAACAGCAGTGTGTTATTATTACTTCTTAACTCATATCGTTTAGAATTAGATATTTAAACATATCCAAAATGTTCTCACGACATACACTCTAGGTCGTTTTGTCAATAGCACGAGTACAATAAAATGGTACAATGCGAAGATTTGGGTGAAGCTTTTTTCGACTTTAACTCTTTTTGACAAATCGCAAGTATCATAATGCGCGAGAGGATGACGACTTTGTATGTTCATATCTTCGGTTCTGTTCATGCTTCGAAGACAGTACCACCATTCGATTCAGTGAAACAATACAAGGCCTAGTCGCCTGCAATACAAGTTCAAGGCCTGGTCGCCTTCCCCGTAGTTTCCACTGCCTGGTCGGTTTATCATCCTCCAAGTTCAAATAACAAAGATATGTTACAGTGCCTAACAAGATCAGATAGATCAAACTGTCGCCAGTTTAGGTTTAACCGCCTGATAAACGCCCCATCCGCGGGTCAGCCACTCTCGATTTTGCAGTAACTAATTTGCACAAATTCTACCACACAAGCTCTATCGAGATCAACCCATAACCTCTTGGGTTGTCTGACCATAATATCATTGTTATGCACCAAACTGTGTATGCACTCACAGGAAAGATCACATAACGAAACTGACCGTGTTATTTATAAAAGGGATATGACAACTTCTCGAAAGATGGAACTTGACAGATACCTAAACAAAGTTGACTGGAGTATCCGGGACTTGCATGACACATGTGAAGGAAAAATTATTACTGATGGTATATCTACAGGATTGAACCTTCTCATGCCAGAAAAAATGAACAAATTTCACCATAACGACCCTCCGTGGATTACTGAGGATTTCAAGTGTATGGTCAAAAAATGACAACAAGCTTTCTCAACTGGCAATATTGCAGCCTTTAAATTATATCGTAATCAAGTGAACAAAATGAAGAAAAGATGTCGGCATCAACAACTACGCTTGCAAAGTTAGCCATCTCAAAAAACAAACTAGACCCAAAGAGTTGTGGAAAAAAATCAATGGCATTTGTGGGAAGACTTCACCTTCCGAGCTCAACAGCTTGCGTTCACATTTTCAAATTGACAATCTTGACCAAATGTTTCCATCTGATATTGCAAATACAATTAACGATAGCTTCCTGGATCCAATGAAGGAGTATAGTCCCCTTGATGATCTTGACCTACAGATGTTAATAGATACTTCGGAAGACGTCTCGCGTTGATATATGAATATGACCTCGCCGGAGTCTGTACACAGCAAATTAAAATCCTTGAACTCTGTCGAGGTCCCAGGGCCTGTGTGACGAATTTAAATCCGCCTGTGTGGGTGTCGGCAAATATAACTTCATATACAAAAAAAGTTTAAATATATTTTTCTATCATTTGTTTGATATAACTAAAAACTAAAACTATCACAGTGTAAATCCTATACTATTGTTGTTAACTGTCTCTCAAGCTACGATACTTACGTCCTTTGGCGAGTTGTTCCTTCCCGTTGTTTCTTCAGCTAGTCCTGACAATCCCGATTTTCAGAGCGCTCGTTAAGTTTACCAGGGTTTTGATAAC